TCATTGGCTGTGGATAGTGGAGAGGAAGGCCCCGGAAAAGTACTTCTGGAGAGGTGGAAGTTGGAAAGCTTGTAGCTGGATTCGGCAGCAGAAATGACCCAGCTGGATGGAAGCTTTGTGGTGGAACCCAGTTAGCTACATAGCTGGAGATTGCCAAGCCAACTGTCCCCAGTCTCTGTGAACCTGAAGTGGATCTCATCTACTCTCCCCTGTGGGCAAGGACCTAAGAAAGCTCTCCGGTTGACAGGGCAGGAGAGCATGATGAGGAAAAGCACCAGCCCTTGTGCCAGGGAGGTCTAGATGCCAGTTGCTGCTAGAACACTTATGGTTGTGTGACCACAGGATGTTATTTAACTCCTCTGAGACTCATTTTTCTTAGTAGTAATCTAGGTGTAATCCTGGTACCAACTTCAAAAGGTTGATGTGGTTACTAGATGAGATGGCATGTGCAAAGTGCTTGGTACATAGTAAGCAGTCAACAAATGGTCGCTGTTCATACCTTCGTATTTTTTATTATTACTGCTGAAGTAAACCAGAGGAATAGCCTGAGGAGGAAACATAGGCTTTGGATTCAGACCAACCTGGGTGCAAATTCTGCGCTCACATCTGCTAGTTGCTTCTCTGAGCCTCGGTTTCTTTATCTGTAAAAAGGGGATAAGATTGTGGCAAAGGTAAAATGAGATAATGTGTGAACAGGGTGTAATACAGTGGCTGACAGAGTAACACCAATAAATAGGTCTGTCATCCTTCCTATTATCATCATCATCACTGCTAAATCATCAGAAGTGAGTGTAAAGGCTAATAGCATTTACAGAATGCCTACTATGTGGAAAGTTCTTCCTTTGGGGAAGATGGGGGTAGCATCACTCTCCCTGCCCCCTAACCTTGTTGGTTCCGTTTTCCTAAGTCCCTGTGGCTGGTTTGGGGAGGCGCCTGCTTGATGAGAGGCTCACGCTGTTGACAAGCCCCACACTGTAGCCCCCGCCCTCTCTGCTGCCCTCCGCTGCCTCCTCCTCCTGCCCACCCTCTGTGGTTACCCAGGATGCGCTGGGTCTTTCCAACCCACTGAAGACTGGGTGGTTTTGGATGCCTTCCCCCAGACATCCTTGGTTTTTGCATTCTTCCTAGCTGAACCTCGTTTTTCTGTTGGCAGCCCATTTTTCGATGTCTTAGGAAAAATAGATATGTCAGCTGTTTTTCATTTCTGAGCTCCTCTGCCACTTCATTAAAGTGCTGCGTATTCCATGTCTTAAGTTCGTTTATGGGGTAAGGGAGGATGCATTAAGTAACAATGGGCCCAGTTTCAAGTCCCAAGTCGTTTGCTAGGTGGCGGCTACTTAATGTAACTGCTTTTTGGCTTGAAGCCTTCAGGCTGGGGTGGTGGTGGGGTTGGTGCCATCGGGCAGGGAGTAGGACAAGAGAAAAGTCAGCTCTTCCGCTCCATCACCTCTGCTCCGCAGCAGACATTGCCCAGCTCCTTCCAGAGTCAGCCATTGGTCAGGGGCTGGGAACACTGTGAGGTGGGGTCTTGGGAAAGCAGATGCTTAGAAAGACAAACAATGCAAGACAGCTGCCTGAGTCAAGGCTGCTTTTCTTTTCTTTTTTTACTTTTTCTCAGCAGCCTTAAGCCCCCCAGATGTCGCTGTTGGTGAGTCCTTAGGTGAAGTCACCAACAGACAGGCTTCATAATTTGCAGGGCCCAGTGCAAAATGAAAATGTAGCCCGTTCCCATGGGCCTGGTGCCACAACCTACCGTGAACGGGCAACCCCCAAGTAACCTCCACACTCTGGGTACACAGATCAAGTGGTCGAGAAGTCCCTGCTGAGTGACCAGTACATGCACCACAGCGCTCCCAGTCCAGGGTGGGGAGGGCTGCACCTTGCCTCTCCCCAAGGCGTGCAGGACGCATGCCCCATCCTGACTCTCCACACACCAGTGCCTGTGCCACCACCGACATGACTCGGTCACCACCTCAGGGGTAGGATGACAGCAGTGGTGGGCAGGGTGAAGGAGACCCCCTGGGGACAGGTACCAGGTACCTGAAAACCTCTCTGGAGAGGTTGTAGGAGGCCGGTCCACAAGTGAGATGAAGCCCCAGACCTCCGCTGCAGGCTCCATTGCCCCCATCAGATTTGCTTACAAAACACAAAATCAAAGGTAATACTAAGAAGTGAAGCTGGGAGCTGAAGAACATTAAATCCCAAGTGCGAGGCTCTGAGGAATGCAGGACCTATGGGGGCAGAGGGGCCCAGTGACTTCTCTCCTAGGAGAGAAGATTGTAGGTTCAGTTTGAGACCAGGTAGGGCAGGAGGCGGGAACCAGGCCAATCAGCTAAGAGGGACATGCAGGTTGTAGTCGGGGTTTGAGCAGCAAGATAGGGCACATCTCCATTGGGTCGGTGGGGCTGTGGGCTGGGCTGACCCAAAAGATCTTTCTCTAGCAGCACGTGCTCCATCAATAAGAGATGGAAACCTTCCTTCTAGCCACAGTTTATGTAACTGTAGAATAAGAACAAAACCTACAAACTCCCAGGAGTCTAAGAATTTTCAAGATGCTTTAGCTCCCTAGATAATGGGTCCACCCAACTATCATCAGAACTGTGTGTGACCATTTGATTTTGACCAGAAGACTGGGGAGAGGGGAGAAGGACTAGATGATCTTTAAGGCCCCTTTTAACCCCAACTTTTATTACTCTTATTTCAGGCCAAGCTACAGAATTTCTGTGCCGTGTATCATGAGAATTTTAAAAAGAATGTTTTCCTTTCCATTTCTCCATAATACACAAATATCTTCTTTTCCTTGAAAAAAAATTTTTCCAAATGTCTCCTTGAAGCGGGGAAGAACTAGAAAGCAGGAGGAAGGAGAACCTAGGCCATTTTTTAAAGTTTATCCCTTAAGATACATACAAAGTGATTTTTTTTTTTAAAGATTTTTTATTGGGGAATTGGGGGGATGGGAACAGTGCTGGGGAGTTGGGGGAAGGGGAACAGACAAGTTGCTGTCGTTTTGTTCTTCAATCTAGTTGTGGAGGACGTTGCTTCACTGGCCCAAGTTGGCACCATCATTGCGCTCTTCCCAGGCGAGGCAGATCAGTCGCCGGCTTCTGGACGGCCGCTCACTGCGGCTGCTGGCCGCTCACGCTGGCTGCTGGCCACACACGGTAGCCCATGGCAATCCACTGCCACAGGGACTGCAGCCCACGCCGTCGCCGGCGACTCATGGCAGCCCAGCTCCAGGTTGAGCTGTTGTTCAGCATCTCAGCTGCGGAGGGCAGTGTCACTGGCCCTCATATGTGGGATCCGAACCGGGGCCCTCTGGCATCCCAAGCGAGTTCTTAACCATCGCGCCACTCGGCCGGCCCCCATACAAAGTGATTTTTATCAAATGAAGAAAATGTCAACAGATTTAGGAACTCACAAAGTCTTGATTTTAGTAGCCTAAATTTGGCGCTGTGGTGTTTTCTTGCTCTCTGACCCAGAAGCGGCTGGAATTCATTTGTTTGGCTAAAAGGTAGAGAACACAGTTAGGGTTTCACCTTAATTACTTGTCCATTCCATACTTTGTAAAGAAATTGATTTTATTTTTGTTAACCGAGTTAGTGTAAGTCTGTAAGATGTCACTCTTACTTTGATTTGGGGTTCCATCTGCCATCTTGAAACTTAATGGTGACCAATTTTTAAAATTAGGTCATATCTTGTGAAATTTGGTTGCTGTGTATTAGTCACAGAAATGTGATGGTACCTTTGATAAAATATTTTAATATTTTGGATGTAAGTCCACTCATCACACTCCTTTTATGAAGATAGTTGGACTAAGAGAGCAACTATTATCACTACCCACTACCCCCTGGTTACTGAGGACATAAAATACTGTGTGTATGTGGTTATAATGATACATTCTTTGAAGAACTTCATGATATTGCTGGTATGATGAACTCAAGAGTCAGGGAAATTAAGTCCCAAATCACACAGCTAGAATGTGGCTGAGCTGGGACTTGAAGCCCCTGGCTGACACCCAGTTCTTTCCACTCTACATGCCTGCTGTGGTCATCACTGTGTAACAGGGTTTTAGGGTTTTATAAAGGAGAACACTAAGAAATATATTAGGATTTTTTTTTTGTAGGCAGCATATCACCTTGAGACCCCCCCCCCACCCCATAAGCATAGGCCGTTGATGATCTTGCTCTCTGAGCTTCTGTGACTTGCAGAAAGACTGCTCCATGTCTTACGGGACCAGCTGTGGCCTTTCGAGGGGAGAAGGGGGCCTGAGTGGGAAGACGTGCTGGAAGGTAGGAAAGGCAGAGTGGAAAGAGATGGCTTCTGCAGCCAGGAAGACCTGCTCTGTCTTCTGTGGGCAGGTCTTTTCACTGAACATCACTAAAGTCAGGGTAATGGCACCAACCTGATAGGATTATTGGGAGGGTTGGAATTAAATGAGATGAAGCCTATAAACCCTCTGATACACACAGAACACTTAACAATCGTTAGTTGCAATTGCAAAAGGACTTAATCTTACTCTCTTTCCACAACTTTCCCATGCCTACGCCCATGGATGGACACGTACTCACTGCTGCTTAAGATTTTGCATGAAGTCTGTTATGTGCCAATGTGAGAAGGCCTAGATTTATCTTTTTAAAAAAACCTATTATTTCTGCATAATTTCCCATTGCCTCAATGCTCCCTTTTTTGAGTTTAGATTAAGGGCTTGGAGACATTGGGTGTCACTATCCATCCACAGGACTCAGCCAAGCTTGTGGCATGCCTCTTCCGTGGGTGGAGGGATGAGGATGGAGGTCGGGTTTGGCTCTTGTCTCCTTCTTTTGCTACGGGATGTCTCACTGTCTTCTCCTGAAGCCTTGGCCTTCCAAGAGGACAAAAGTCTTCTTGAACTTGGAGGCACGACGAGCATACAAGTGCCCGGAACTCGATGCCCTCACCCACTGGAAGTTGTCAGGCTGTGAAGTAGTCCAACGCTTGTGTTCTTTGTTCTCTTTTGGCAGAACCAGCTTCTTGCAAAAGGACTGCTGTTTGTGGAGGAGAAGATTAAGCTGTGCGAAGGCAAGTACAAGGCTGCTCTCAGGGAGCGGGGTCCCTGTGACTCAGCCTTTGATGTTTGGACAGCTGAAGTGCTTCTGTCCAAAAGGGGCAGGCTCCAAGTGAGTGATTCACCCCGTCTGTTTCTTCTCCAGCTAGGCGGCAGCATTTCAATTTGAGTCAGCCCCTCATGGCAAGGCAAGTTAGAACTGTGTTTGAAAAATGAAATGGAATTGGGGTGGTCTCTTTGGAGACGTTGTTAAGGGTTGTTTTTTTCCTACAGAAGGGGAGCTGGTGGTCTCCTTTGAAGGGTTACATTATACTGCAGATCCTGCCTTGCTCTTCCTTCTGGTCTGATGGCCTGTGTCACATTTCTTGTGGTCATACATGACAGGAGGCCTATCCACGTGGAAAACACTAGACGAAGGCAGACACCCACTGAACGGTGTGCGATTTGATAGGCAAAGGGAAATTTCCTGGCTTGAAGAGATTTTCGAGCTCATCTGACAGGATAGAAGGCACTGAACAGAGACGGGAGCTGGGGCCAAAGGCAAGAAGCAGCCAACCTCATGACGCCACCGGGGGCTACGGTCAGCTCCCCGCCATGTGGGTCCTGACCTTAGCTGCCACCTCCTTCTTGGGTGACTTGGCAAGTTTCTGGTTTTTCTGAGTCTTGGTTTTTATCATCTTTAAGATGATAAAATGGGGGTAGGGATTGTAGGGAGGATAAAGTGCATAACTGGCATAGCACGATTCCCAGCACACAGTAGGTACACAGACTGATTCTGACTTTTTGTTTGTTTGTTTCCCTACTCTAGCCTAGAGACCTCTGCATGTAGGTCAAACTTCTATCTAGACCCAGACCTATCAGGCATTAGACCATCCCTTTTTTTCTTCCCATTCCCTGGGAAAGAGACTGGTGCCTAGTGAAACGGCTCCTAGACAGACTAAGTCAGAATTAAAATAAGAAACCAACACTGGGAAATTCAGTGTCTGGCACACAGTGAGTGCTCACCAAACCTTTGGAAGAATACAGGGTAGACATGAACCTCTGAGAGTTGCCTGAACCTGTAGCCTCGTTTCCTTTGAATACATCTATGCTAAGACTTTTCAACCTTATACCTACCCACTAACCCAAGGCCTTATTTGCAAGTGACTTGCTTTGATGACAACTTCGTGGCTCTTTTGCGTTTTGGTGGCAGGCTAGTACACACGTGTAGAAACGGAGGGAAAAGGAGCATGGTCTCCCGGCCACGTTATTTGTCTGTAAGTCATTTGGGGAGTGACTACATGCTCCTGGAAATGTGAGGGGAGAAAAAAACCACTTTATGAAAAAGATACTGAGAAAAACCAGAGGTTCCAGTGCCCTTTAAGAAGAAAGTTGAGTATCTGTCACCCCAAGTGACACTTATCATAGATACAGTCAGAGTGAAAACTCAGAAAGGGAGCTGGGTGGGTAAACAGGCCATCCACGGTTCTGTGCTTCTGCCCCGAAGAGTAGCTGGAGAGCACAGGGCCAGGTATTATCTCTGGGTCCCCCTCGTTCTGGGACTTGGGGGTCAGGGTCCTTTCTGCACAGTGGAGGGGCACATGGGGAACCTTTCAGAGTCTTTCGCATCTTCAGCCAGGATATCACTAATTTATGCATTATAACTCCAAGAAAGATTTTGTTTGGATAAAAGGATTCTCTCGCTATAAAATATAGTTTGGAAACAACTGATAGGATCTGTCCTATCGCTGAACAAACTTTATACTTTATTGATCTGTTTGCTTATATGCGTACGCCCCGCCTTAGGGCTGTGGAAAAGGCAGACAGCTCATATCCATGCGTTGCTCTTTTGTAGGATATGCCATGTGACTCTCAGTCACTTTTTCTAGAGCCTTAGTGACCTTGACTTTAAAGAAGTTCCTCATACCTAGTTCTATATACCTCTGGTGATCTAAACTCTCATGGCATGTTAGAGGACAGTTTTATAAGAGAGTCATCTAGAACCTTCCGTCCAAAACCCCCTTCATCTTTACTGGGAGCTAAGTCCTTGACTTGTGGGCTGTTTCTGGAGGTGAAGTCACTTCCTTCCTTTAACTCTTTCTTCCCCAGGGCTACCCTACTTTGTTAGCTTGTGTCTGTCTGATGTTCTTCTCTGAACACGTTCCAAAACCTCCATTACTCCCTGAAGTCTGCAGCCAGCAATTAGACCCAGGTTCCCAGGAGCGGCGCCTTCCTGCTGCCGGATGGAAGGATTACCTCATGTGCCAATGACCTTTCTACCTTGGTGATGAAGGGGAGCAGATAGGCACCAGCACTGACCTGCAGGGTTCTCCTCACCTTCCTTCAGGCCTCTGTGTGTCCTTGTAATGGAAGGCTTAGGATAAGGGCCATCAGTAAAGGAGGTGGAATAGCCTTTTCTCCTTTGAGGTACATTATCCAGGTGTTGGGGTTCACTTTGGTTTTAGGTACCAGGATGACCTAACATTTCAGATGATCCTTTTGACTTCCCCGATACCTCCCTGCAGTGAGCTAGCATAGCCTCCATTTGAAAAAAGGATGGTGACTGATTCATTCAAACACTTATTATCTCCTACATGCCAGGTACTTTGCTAGGTTCTGGGGACACAGCAGTGAACAAAATTATCAGTATTATAGGCCCTTGTGGAACTTATAACCTGGTAGTAGAGACAGATATTAATCAAGTCATCACCAAATAGAAAACTGCAAACAGGACAAGTACTAAGAATCCCATCCATAGTAGGGGGATTTGGCCAATAGGGCGACTTTCCTGTGAAAGTGATGCTGGAGCTGAAACTAGGAAGACAAACAGATGTAGGTTAGGCAAAGAGAGGAGGGAAATTATGCTCGAGGCCAGGGGTCGGCAAACTTTTGAGACAGAAGAGCCAATCCTGTCCCTCAAAGTTTCGCAAGACCTATAAAACAAATGAAATCACCATGATGTGAATACTATCCTTTAAAAATGTTATAAATGAAACTAGGATAGTTTTATTTTCATTTTCAATTTTACTTCAGAGCCACATGTATGTACCCAAAGAGCCGCATGTGGCTTGCGAGCCACAGTTTGCAGACCCCTGGTCTGGTCAAAGGGACAAGCCCGTGCAAAGGCTGGGTGGCATGCCGGAGCCTGGCGAGTGTGAGGGGCTGAAGTAAAATCCACATAGTGAAGCCCCGAAGGCCGAGCGGAAAGCAGAAAAGGATGAAGACACAGAAGGAAACAGTCTCCCCAGCCAGGTTGCCCACGTTATGGAGGCTTGTTTTCTTGATCTCAACAAAGGAGCGTGGTGGAGCTGACTAGTAAGTCCTGTTCTGCCCCGTCCCATATTTGAGATAAATGGCAACCTCCTTCCACTCACCAGCCCTCGCATCTGCAAAAACATATGTACTTAATACTTGCCATTCATTCATTCATTCATTCACTCAAAGATTTCAAAGAATGGATTTATCAGTGTGTCTGGCACCATGCTAAGCACTAGAAATATAAGGGTGAGCAGGATGGACAAAGCCCATGCACTCACTCCCATCCTAGAGGAGACAGAGAAGTAAAATCAGTGATTCCGACCAAGTGTCATCGGCGCTTTGTGAGGGAAAGTCGAGGGTGCTATGGGTTTGCATGTTTCCCCAGTATATTTCGCTCCGATCTTTCAAAGTCTGCGTGTCTTTGGCCCTCCTAGCTGCTAGTCGTGCTCTTGCTCTGTCTTCTTTCCCAGCCACTGCGTCTATTGTCCATTAAATTAATAGATGAAAAATGCTAAATGAGTCTTTCTGTATCTGTTCGGTGGAACTGGCAGTGTTTTGCCAAACGCATCTCTCGGTGTCTAATCTTGACTGACCCAGTTTCTCTGCCTCCGATGAGCAAAGACAGTGCCTGATCAGCTCTGTTATCTAGGTCATTAAGCTGCCACCACGGTGCAGGCCCCTCTCTGCCAGCGCCCGCCTTTCCTAGGGGTGCAAAGTTCCTCACAAAGTCTTCCGGTGGCATCCGGTGGCATTGGGTACCGCGTTGTACATCTAGGGGTGGCCCTGGGCTATGGCTCAGGTGTCCTGATCCAAGGGGTGAGAGTATCTGGAAGGGGGTCCTGTGTTTTGCCGTGAACACTTCAGAGGATGCTGTCCCCCTCGTTCCTGTAAAGCAGTGGGTGGAAGTGACAGTTTCAGGCCCTCTTGCCACCTCCCTCAACTGACAGCTCAACTCCAGAATAAAAAGCCAGTATCTTGGTGATTCAAAAACAACCAAACCAATATGTAACAGGGTACATGATCGTCCCAAATTATGTTGGTCCAGAGCGTGGGTTCTGGAATCCCGGCTCTGCCTCCTAGCTCTGTGACTTTGAGATACTCAACCTCTCTGAGGCTGTAGAATGGGGTAATAGAGTCGACTCATGAGATGTCCTACAGATAAGTCGTTTAGCACAGTGACTGATAATGTTGTAACCATTCTTGTGATGATAGCAATTATTATGTGGTTTTCAATATTTAACTCCCTTTTCTGGATTGGGAGATAGCAGGCGTATTTGCATATTTTCAGCTGAGTCTTCCCATCCAATTCCATGTCTATAGTAACACCTTACAGATCCAATGTAGGTAATGAGCTTTCTTCCCCTGTGCCCCCCTCCCACCATGCTCCATTTGACACGGAACTGTCTCCTGTCTTCTGCAAGTAATGACAAGTTCTTTCCTTTCTTTCTCCCCTCCCATCTTCTCGCCCTCATGTAGGTGAAAATCGCATTGAGGTTCTGGCCGAAGTCTGGGACCACTTCTTCGCTGAGACCCTCCCCACCCTGCAGGCAATATTTTATCCAGTTCAGGTCAGTCTCACGGAACGGCCTTCTGCCGGCCTCAGCAATCTGATTCCTGAGCCTTTGCCCCCTGGGGCCACCTGGTGAATGGGGGAGAACCAGGAGGTCAGGCCCCTGAGTTGGCTAAGGACCTAAGAGGTCTTTGGAGGGTTCTCTGGTTCTGTATTTAGCATCTAACCTCAAGCAAAGAAGAGGCCCTGCGTAAGTAGCAATGTGTAGGCCCTTGTCACCCTCTTGGTTTGGAGTATGTCTGTATATTCTTGGAGTGCTTTGCTGCTTCTTACTTTTCAGAATTAGAGACGATGGGGGAAGGAGACCTTTTTCTTTCCCTTACCCCCCTTTCTTTAAAGCACAACTTTTAAGTAAGTTTCCTATTGCTGTAAGCCTGCGGGAGAGGAATAATGTTCCTTGCTTTCTGTAAGGGATTCCTGAAGACGATGCAGGAGAAAGGAACTGGACTCAGCATCAGTAGCTGGGTTTGGGCAAACTCATTTCACTGCTCTGGCGTAGCTCCATTTCGTCTCCTGCAAAATGAGGAACGGAGACTAAAAGATGTGCGGCGGTGCTTCCGTATTCTTACTCTGTGACCTCAGTTCATTCTACCACTCGTGTTGATTTCCTTCTACCCTCCTGCAGGACAGGTCAGTGCCGGGCCAGAATGGACACTCCCTAAGGGAGGCTGACCAGGAGACCTTGCTCTCCAAAATGCATGTTTCTCTCACACATCTGTGCTGCCCTATGTTCACTGTCCCACTCCTCCATCTGGGGTTCAGGCCTCGTATCTAATCAGGCTTTGGTGAGGTGCAGGCAAGGGGTGCACCAATAATAACCATTAGCAATGGCAGGGTTACCTTGTACAGAGGCGCTTTGTTTGCTCGGAATGGTGTTTTAAAGGAATTCGGAATTCTTTTAAATATATGTTGAAGGTTTAAATTTCCCATTTTAGGCCTGCCCTTAACAATTCCTATAGAAGCCTGGGGCCTGCAGCCCACTGCTCTTTTCGTCCCATCCTCCGCTCCATCCTGCACCCCCATGAGAGGGTTTGTAGCATGTATGTGGATAGTTCAGCCCCCATGCCCACAAGCCTCTTCCTTCCCTGCAATCGTAACCCCTCGGCCAGCAGTGGGTCTTAAGAACACAGTGCTGGGAGGTAGGGCTGCCAGATTTAGCAAATGAAAATACAGGATGCTGAGTTAAATGTGGATTTCAGATAAACATGAATAATGCAATATTTGGGACATATACTTAAAAAAAACTATTCAAATTTAACTGGATATCTTGCGTTTCATTTGGCAACCCTACCAGAGGGGGTGTACAGGCCTGGGTCTCTCTTAGGACCGTTTGGGCATGGAAATCTCCAGTTGTGGGTACCGAGATGGGTTTAGAATGGAGAGTGAGGGGTCTGCCTGGGCACGGCTTCGGGACAATCATCGGAGGCCCTCTGAGGCTCTGACCCAGCGCAGGAGCCCAGTTGGTACAGGTCTGAAGATGGAACTACTCTGCTCCCTTGAAACATTGTAAAATCTGGCAACAATTGTTATTGCCCCTGTCCACCCTCCCCCCAAATTTCCCAAGTGCTGCTGCTGCTGCTGGTTCAGACACCCCACTTTGAGAATCCCTGACTTAGGGGTTCTCACTGCTGGTAGTAACACCTCCCTGAGGTGACTGTTAGTCTGCTAGATCCTTCCTACAACTCCCTGTGTATCTAAGTGTCTATATGAGACCTACTTCCTTGTTGGACAGATGTGTTTTTGAGCATCTACTGTGTTCAAGGGTGTGGAACTTCACCTGCATTTTTTTACCTTGTCAAATGAAAGGGCTCCTGGAGAGGAAGTGAGGGCTCAGATACCGATGACACAGTCAGTGCCAAGAGCTGGGACCTGCTGCAAAAAAATGGAAAGTGCAGGACCTTGGACAAGTGGGAGAGGGGAGGAACCACTGTCACTGGAGATGACCAGGGACAGCAACCCAGAAGGGCTGGCTGAGCTGAGCCGTAAGGCGTGGGGGGCGATGGTGTGTGTCTATTGGGATTGGAGGGTAGGGGGTTGCAGAGATGGCCCAACCACCCTTGCCCGTGTTTATAGGAAATGCAGAACTTCCTTAAACCTTGGTAGTCTTAGCCTGTGTCCTCTCTGGTAGGGTATTCCCTAATACTATCTTTGTCTCTACCAAGAGCAGCCGGTTTTTGGTGCGTACAAAGGAGAGCCTGGCAAATGGGACCCCCTTCCCCTTTCTGTTTTGGGAAATTTCGGGAGCTCGAAAGTCAAATAGTTTAGGTTTGCAATCCAGCTATCCCTTGGGTAAATGCCTGTCACTCTGGACTTTAAGATTTTACCCCTGTGAAGTGGGTTTTATAACAGCACCTCTCTCAAAGGGTGGTTGTGGAGATTAAATGTGTTATTTACATCAAGAAAATTTAGAAGCATGCCTAGCACATAGAGCGTAATAAGTGTCAGCTCTTATGATCATTGGTTTTTTTCTTTCTCTGTCCCCACCCTACATGATTGATCAAGTCCCATTCCTTCTACTCTCCCAGTTATTTTTCTTCCCAAGTTTCTGCATTTATGTAAGAGTCCAACAGGTCCTGTGTTTTCTGCCTTTGCCTGGCATATGATAGGTGCTCAGATATTTAATGGATGAAGTTGAGAAAGCAGCCTTGGATGTGGGGTGGTGGTGGTGATCTTTTCTCTTGTTTCTCTCCATCTTCCTCTCTCTTTTTCCTGACCACTCGTGGCACTGATGACAGCAGGGCCCCCATTATATGTGTCTCCTATCATCTTTGGGTCACTTAGGCAGGTTGATTCACAACTTATCTTAAACGAAGCTTTCGTTCTGCAAGATGGGGGCCAAGTCTTCGACTCTTTGATAGCCCCCCAAGCCTTGGGATGCCTTGTCCTGTCCCATCCTGGGTGCCTTGAACCCCATGTGGTTGGTGGCAGGTCCAGCAAACGTCTGCCTCCCAACCCTGCCTCTTCTCTCCTCCAGGGCCAGGAGCTGACCATCCGCCAGATCTCCCTGCTGGGCTTCCGTGACCTGGTCCTGCTGAAGGTGAAGCTGGGCGATTTGCTGCTGCTGGCCCAGTCTCGGCCACCCTCATCCATCGTCCAGATGTTGCTCATCCTGCAGGTGAGGCCCCAGTGGAGATGTGACCCCAAGGCTGAGGGAAGAAAAGAGGGAAAGAGACTGCCACTGTGCGGGGAGGGAGAAAGGACCAAATGACCGGAGCACCTGAGCTTAGTGTAGTCGTTTATGTTCCTTAGTTAATTTGCTCATTTGCTGTACATCACTGAGCACCTTAGAGGTGCCCGGTGCTGTACTCCGTGCTGGGATCCCAGTGGGGAGTGAGAGAAGCACAGTCCTATCTGTCAGGAAGTGGACACTCTCCTCTCCTGTTCTGTAGGGAGTCACAAGTTATAAGTAACAAGAGGAGCCCACTACAACCTAGCTCAAGGCAGAGTAGGAACTCACTGGAAGGTTCCTGGGGCAGACGGGCTTCCTAAAGGACTGCGACCAGAAGGGAGGCCATGTCAGGCCACAAAGCCACCACCCTTTCTCCAATTATTGGTCTCTACTTATATCTGGTCTACCTTGGTTCTCTCTGACGCTGCCTCGCCTGGCCTTGCCTAGTCTCTCTTGGACTTGTTCCCCCTCCCCTCCCCTCNCTTCCCTTCCCTTCCCTTCCCTTGCCTTCCCTTCCCTCCTCTCCTCTCCTCTCCTCTCCTCTCCCCTCCGTTCCCCTCACCTCCCCTCCCCTCCCCTTGCATTCAGTGCTTTTGGTTTGTACCTGATCAAACGTGGCATCTTATAGCTCATGTGATTTCACCAAGAGACCACCCCAGATGGTTGCCTAGTATTTCTTCATCCCAATTCTAGATTGACAGTAGAAGATGAGCGAACATTTACTGGTTCCTGCCAGGCATGGACCAATGACTAAGTGTGCTGCTGTCTGAATCAAATAACCCAGACGACCACACGATGAGGTGGGCACCGTTGTCATTCCCATTTTACAGATGAGGAGGCTGGAACCCAGGAAGTTCCTGTTCTTGCCCGAGGTCCCTCAGCAAGAGGTAGTAAGATTCAGAACTATGTCCACTCAGGGAAAAGACTTTGATTGGTCCAGCTCAGCTATGACCTTGGGTGGGATCGAGACGTGTAAACATGGCCTCAGTGATCCCAAGCCTATGGATAGGGGCACATAATTCTTGAGAAACAGGGCATGTGGGCTAGGGACACCCCCAGAAGGAGGCTCTTATACATCCCCCACCTCTGTACGAAGTTTAGATCCTGCAGCTCTGAGCCCATCCTCAGGGAAGACCTTTCCATCCTTGATCAGGCTGGCGGTGACCCCCGGCTGCCCTCTCAGCAGGGGCGGAATGTCAGGCTTGGGGCCCCATCTTTCCTGCCCCCAGCTGCTGTTCTCTTCCGGTTCTGTAGTTCGACCATCTGGGCATTCTCCCCCTTTCCTGAAATCAGAGTAGAGGAAGGGCTGCCTAATCGGATAAGAGTGTGTGTAATTGGCTGGAATGCCAGGTCAAGTATTTTTACGGCAGGGAAGGAGAAGGAAAGGGGTATAAAAATGTGTGTGCAGCTCGTGTCTGAGAAACATAAAATACAGCTTGGATCCCGAAGAGGAAATCTAGAAAATCAGCTCTTTGGGATTCAGATAGGGAGATTAGGAAAGGGAAACTGGGTTTCCACCCTCCCGTGTCCATTTATAACATTTTAGGGGTGAGAGGTGATTCCTTTTTTGTTGTTTTGGTTTATTGGAAGAAGACTTGAGATGAGGGCTTTCACCTGTGGATGGTGGACCAGAGGGCCTGTCTCTGGTAATGAAAGCACATGTAGGACATTCTAACATCCTGGGCCTTGTGCCCTACCACCCAGGAACCATACAAGAAAGCTGCCGTGGTCCTCCTGAAGCCCCTAAAGATGGGTAGATTGCTTGCCCTGGAGAATTTTCCTTCATCTGCCCTGGCCTCCACCCCAATTTACTCTCCATGGGGCAGCTTCAAATTCTTCAGTGGTCCCCGGTGATCTTAGGAAAACAGCCCAGGTCTGTACCCTGGCCTCTGACCCTTCCCACCCCTCCAGCCTCACCTGGAGCTCAGTGTCCCTGCTGGTGGCCCTCTGGCCACAGGGGCCTTCTTTGCCCATTCACTCTGCTCAGGATGCTTGGTCTCTAATGGCCCACAAGCCCCCTTCAGGTCAAGGTGGGTCTATATGTTTTCTCCTCCCTCTTGTGCCTTCAGCACCCAGCACAGTCTCTAGCGCACATGTTTGTTCAGTGAATTATGGCACCAGCTAATAACAGCCTAAGTATGACTGACCTCAGGTCTCTGGCCTCAGACCTCGTGGTGGTGACCGTCATGCAGGGATTCCAATCTTGGCAGAGGAAAGTACAGTCAGCCAGAGAAGAAGCTTCACCACTGGGACAAATTTCTGGGAAGTCAGGCAAGGAAACAGTCCCTGTTTTCCCAACCATGATGAGGCTAACTAGCTCAAGGTCACATCCTAATTTGTAAGCGAGCTGGGTTTGTCACCCATTCCTCAGCTCTTGTTTTTTCCACCTCCCCACCCAGCCTTGCTTAGCTGCCACTATCCCCCTGCCCTCAGCCTCCCGGGGTACTTGGAAACACCCCGTAAGCTTCTAAGATGATGCCACTTTAACACGGAGCGTTTGGCATTATTTTCCTGGGGAGCCTCCTGGAACTAGCTCTCCTGGTCCATGTCTGTCCTTATTCTAGGACCGAGAGAGCCTGGGACTGGGAGTGTGACAGCGACACACGCAGGTCTCTCCTCTGCCTAGGTCTATCTTCTTGAGCAAGAAGGACAGCAGCTTCTGGTTCTGAATGGACCTTGCTGGTCACACTGCCCATTCCTGCTGCAGGAAATTTGGGGCCCAGTAGTTAGAATGGCTACCTTCTCTCCCCAGCCCCTCACCCTCCACAGTGCTGTGACGTCTGGGTCTGATGGATTTCCCCCTGCTTGACTGTCTTACAGGGACAAGAGACATTTGCTAGCCCTTCCTCTCTCAGGGCTTTTCCAGGGCTCTTCCAAAATGTCCCTGAACAAACCCTCCGTTTCCAAAATACATAAGGGGGCTCACACTTTCCTACTACGGGCTACGTGCTCCTGTCCTCAGGCTGTACCAGGAAGGCGCTGAATCAGAGATTTTGACCAATGTGGAGATCTGGTGCCTGCTGGCAGGTGCAGACATATCCTGAGATCACCCAGGAATGGTGCCTTCTGAGGAGTCCCACCCAGCCAGGCAGAGTGTGTGACCCGGGCACTCGCCCAGGGTCCTGTGCTCACCAGGGCCCCGTGCTTGGTTTAATTCTCTTCCATCACCGTCTTGAACTTCTTAATTTTTGAACAAGGAACCCCATATTTTCATTTTGCACTGGGCTCTACAAATAGCTGGCCAATCCAGCAGCCAGGCCGAGGGCTGGGGGTGGAGGCACCTCCTTCCTGGGGGCAATATACGAGCCAAATTCTCAGCAGCTACCCTGGGAGCAAATCATCCAGCTCCAAATCACACGTTTTGTTACCCATTTTCTTTCCATCTTTTCCCTCTTGTCCTTTCTCTGTCATCCCTCTCTGGTATTTACAACTTGTATGGGGGAAAGGCTTCGGGGTAAAAGTCAGATGAAAAAATATCATGGAGGGCCAGCCGAGTGGCTCGTTGGTTAAGAGTTCACTTGGGAGCACAGCTCTGAGTAGGGCTGCCGGTTTGGATCCCACATGAGGCCCAGTGACACTGCGCCCTCTACAGCTAAGATGGTGAACAACAGCTCAACCTGGAGCTGGGCTGCCGTGTGTTGCCGGCCACAGTGTAGGCTGCAGCCCCTGCTGCAGTGGGCTGCCATAAGCTACCGTGAATGGTCGGTAGCCAGAGTGAGCGGCAATGAGTGGTCGTCCAATGGCCGGAGACCTATCAGCCTCAGCTGGGAAGAGCACAGTGATCACAATACCAACATGGGCCAGTGAGGTGACGTCCTCCAAAGCTGGACTGAGAAACAAAAGGACAGCAACTCGTCTGTTCCCCTTCCCTGATTCCCCAACGCTGCTCCCTCCACCAATTCCCCAATAAAATCTTTAAAAAAGAAAAATATCATGGAGGGGGAAAAAAATTGAAAAACAGTTTACCTGGCTCTGAAACCCAATCAAGGTGGTTTGGGGGCTGAAACTGTTCCACTTTGGAGGCCTGGGGTGGGTGGGTCCTGGGGAGCATAAGTAAGGCTCCCCTCTCCTTTCTCTGGCCTTGAGGGTTCCCTTCCCTTTGGGCAGATATGTGTGTTCCTCAGAGAAGTACCTCCTTCGTTTTCCCCCTTGATTTCTGCTGCCAGCTTTTCCGATGCTTCTGCTCGGGCTGAGCAGAATTGGAGCCAAGGGGGCGTGAAAAACCATCATGCCTTCTCCCCATCGCCACCTGCACACCAGGTAGCCTTAGCTGAAGCACTGTGCCCTGGGTCTGAGGCCCACTCACATTTTCTCTGCATCTCCCCACTTCCGACCCCTTCCCAGCTCCAACCTCCAAGTGTTTTGCACAGTAGCCCCCTCTTCAGCCTCCTTAGTGTTTCCTTAGGCTGCCCCCTCCATCCCACCGCCAAGCCACCCCGTCTCAGTGTGATGGAGCCGACTGAGCCAAATCAGCCTGCGTCCATGGGAGCGTCCATCTCACCCAGTGATCTCCAGCCTGTAGAATTATTGGTCCTTCCGGCTTCATTGCCCAACCCTTTTACCCTGCAACCTCCGAAAACTCCAGTGTGGTGCAGTGGAGAGATTGCCCTTTTAAGCGAAGGTGATTTAAAATCGATTCCATTTTGAGAATGGGGCAGGACAGCCCCCATGCAGCCTTGTCGCTGCCGCCCTGCAGCCGCTCAGCACAAGATGATGGCTTGGAGTCCTTTCCAGTGAGAAATTGAGTCCCCTAGGAGTCTGCTGGTTTTCTAGAAAACCTTGGTTATTTCCTGGCTCCTTTCTGGTTTGGACTGTTGTGGTCATTGTTTTCGCTGGTGTTTGCTCTGCGCTTGGCTGTGAGGAGTCCCGTCAGTCACGCTGGGCTTTTGAACCGGTGCTTCGTCTTGGTGCTCCCCATACAGGCAGTGTCAGAATGACTCCCGCTTTCTTCTGCTGTTCTGGACTTTGTCATATTCTGTCCCCCTTTCTTTTCTAGCCTGTTAATAAGTGGCAATAAGAGGTGATTGGAGCCAGAGAGCCTGGGCTTTTGCCACTTACCTGCTGTGTTTTCCTGTGCAAGTTGCTTGAGTTCTCTGGGACTTAATTTCCTCGTCTGTGGAAGGGGGCTGATAAGCATGTCACCTTCTTTGGGTTGGTGGGAGGCCTCTGTGTTTTGGTACATGTAAAGTGCTTATATACAGTGCCTGCATGCTGAGTGTGAAGCAGTCATTGTGACAGTGGGGGTGGGGTTACTATGATTGGGACCAGTCAGACCTCAACCCGGAGCTGGGGTGGGGACAGTCCCACCTGCACTGCATTGGTGGGGCCTGTGGAGAGGCACCATGGTACCGGCCATACACGTTCTGATCATGGTGACCCATGACAAGTGACTGGGGCTTCAGGCCGCAGTTTTCTTCGTTCCGGCCAGTAGGATGCTGCCTGCCTGTAGAACTGCTTTGAACGTAGTAGGAGGGCCAGCTGGCCGTGGCAAATTAGACTGACCTTTGCCTCTCTTGGATGTTCGTTTCCAGAGTGTTCATGAGCCCACAGGCCCAAGTGAGGGTTATTTGCAACTGGAGGAGCTGGTGAAGCAAGTGGTTTCTCCTTTCCTGGGCATCAGCGAGGACCGAGGCGTCGCAGGCCCTATCTACACACTGGGTAAGGGGCAGAGCTCTCGAGCTGGCAGGAGCCTCAATGACAACGCTACCAGCTACATTTTCCTGAGCCCCAGTTATGCACCATGCCTTCTGCTTCCGATGCAGGCCTGTGCGAATTTGTGCATGTTAATCGCTCACCTTTCCCGCTGGCCTGTGTCTTGGCAACCTTCTCCCCATGCTGCAATTCCTCCCCGGGGACCCTTAATGTGCCTCTGTGGTGGTGCTTATCTGATCCACATCTTTGATCTGCGGCTTTGATCTTTTCCTTGTGCCTGCAATGTTATTTTTTCTGTATCTGATACCAGAAACTGTGCCTCAATGTACCATTCCCCCACTTGAGTGGAAAAACCACTCGAGGTGGATTTATTTCCTTTTGAAAGCAGCTGGAAAAGTGAAGCCAACTTTGTGTGTGTGTGGCCAGGTGAGATGGAGCCGCTGCTCTCCATTCCATTTCTGTAGGTTCTGCCAGGGCCTTCACACCAAGGAAAGGGGCTCCTGGATTTGGGGACAAATCCTGTCGGGGCCTTTTTTCAGTGGCTGTAAAACTAGCATTCGTGAGTGTCAGGCTCTGTACTAGGCACCCTGGAGCATCTAGAGATGAATCGGATCCATTCCTTCTCTCAGTGAGACCTCCGTCTAGATGGGGAGACAGCTCTGTATTAAGGCTTATCATGAAAGACGTTCCTCAGTTACCTTCTGAAACAAAAGCCCCCAAAACGCAGGAATTTTTTTGTTTGTTGTTCTACCTCCAGCAACTGGAATGGTGCCTGGCATACTGTAGGCATTCAAAAATATACTTGTTAGGTGGATGGCAGCCATCTGTACCCCAAGACCAGGGTGACGAGCACCCACAGAGAGGTACAGAGATGGAAGGGGAGTCCCTGAATTTAGAATCTTTTGCCCCCTCTCCCTGCTTGAATGGAGTTGGAGCTGAGCTTCAAAGAAAGAGGTTCCCACCCCTTCCTGGGCCTCTGTACTGCAGAGAAAGGCAGGGCCAGCCGCAGTCTTCACGGCCCCGTCATGTTTCTCTGGAGACATCAGCTTAACCACAGCCACCACAAATCGGAGGGTGCTGGCCCCAGCTTGCTGGCTGCCAGGTCCCCCCCACCCCTCCCTCTCTCCCTCCCTCTCTCTTTCCCTCTCTCTCTCACTCATTCCACCCAGGAGCTGGAACAAGCCAGAGTAGAAATGACAGCTGAAGGAAACCAGTCTCCTGCCCTCCCTGGCCATGAGCTGGGGGCCAAGCTGCTGTGCCCTCCCTGGAGCCCACCTTCCTGCCAGGGCACACAGCTCACTGGGTGTGTGGCAGGAGGGTCCAGGCAGATGTCAGGATGCCAGCAGGTTAGATGGGCCTTGGCAGGCACTCCGCCATCGCTGGGCCTCGAGAGCCAGGGACAAGGGTGGATTTGGAAGTTTGTTCGGTGAGGACTTGCTCTAAGCAGGGGTATCTTCAGCTTTCCAGCTAACATAAGAAGAATACCCATCTTTGTCCAATTGTAAAGAAAAGGCCTGAGGTTTTCTTCTTGTACCAAGGTCCATCCTTGCCTCTGGGGTGTTGTCTCACTCAGTAGGGGCAGAGAAGGAAGGAAATTACCCTCTTTTGATTAATTTTTTAATTATTTCAGCAACTGTGTGCCGAGACCCTGTCCCAGGCACCTTGTGAGGTGCTGCAGGTATATCCATGAACAAAACCGGCCCACCCCCGCCCGCTGGCATGCACCATCCAGTAAGGAAGTCACAAACAATAGACGATGACTCATGTGTACAAGCGCTCTGCGTGGGGAAGTACAGGGGCCATGGGCCCCACGACAAGGGGACTTCACCTGGACTGGGAAGTCAGGGAGGGCTCCCCGGGGGAAGTGATATCTGTGATGGGACCTATAGGATGAATATGAGTTAGCTGAGTAAACAGAAAAAGCAGACTGCCCCAAAAGCCAAGGGAAGGATCTTGGGGAGGGCTTTGGAGTGAGGGGAGTGGTGAACAGGAGGGTTCAGCATTTGAGGAACTGAAAGAGTGTCATCAGAGTTGCCGAGTTACTGGTGGCAAGGGAAGCCCCAACACAGACAATGTCCTGGGCACTGGGCTGGGTAGGTACCACTTCACAGGTGAGGGAAATGAGGATTGAGATCCCTCGGCTGTTGGAGCCAGGCTTCCAAAGCCCCAAGCTGCTGGCACTTTACCAGCTGTCCCTCGTGCTCCACTGTCACCCCATCCCACCCCTGTCAACCCCCAAGAGATGACCGTGATTTTCCTGAGGGACAATTGAGGAGGTGGTTCTTCCCTCTCATCCCTTCATCCAAGAGGTATCGGAGACCAGACATTTCCCCTCAAACCTCTGGATACCAAAAATCTAAAGTGACCACAATGGTACCCTTCCTTAGGGAGGACACTCCTTTCCAGGTTGAGAGCACGCTCTGGGCCTCAGCCCTCCTCTTGGTAAAGTGGAGATGATAACATTTATCCTTCGCATGCGAGAGGGGAGTTGAGACAGACTAAGGAGATACACTGGATGTGAGAACAGGCAGGGCCCCCAGGAGGGCTTTCTCCTGGGGCCTGACTAGGGGTCGGAGTGGTCAAGGGCAGCTGGGACATCCTCTCCAAAGCCACCACTTGTCAAATGCCTGTCACATTCCAGGTGCTGATCAGGCACTTGGCATGTATTCATTTCATCCTCACGTAGCCTGCTGGGGGTGGTACTGTGGTTCCCTGTCTCAGAATCATTAAGAAATGACCCCAGGGTGTGTCTCTCACAAGGCGGGTAGCTGACTAGAGCTGGAGACGTGGTTTTTCTAGGAAGCGCCTCACGTGTTTGATCCTGGGATTCATGGGAAATCTCTCTATACCCTGCCAGCCAGGTGGATGGGCTTGAGGAATAAACCTCGTTCCCTGGATGTGCAAGGCTTGCTTCAGAGAGAAAAGTGGAGTCTGAGGCCGTGACAGAGTGAGTGTGCGCATGTGCGTGTGTCTCCCCTACAAAGTGGGCACTTCTCTGGGGCAGTGGGGGCGAAGAGGAAGACAGCGAACTCTTAAATAGCAGATTTGTCAGAGCTCAGGCCCACCTCCTACCTTTCTAGTTCCCAAAGTTTCCAAGCCGCTGCCCGAGCGCTTACCCTGGACATGCTCAATTTCTCCCCCACAAAAGCCCTGGCCGCCCACACGTCTCCCTCATTGTGTCTGCAGGGGGAGGGCCCTCTGCCTCAAGATACTGTAACTGCTCCTCATGACAAGTAGGCATTCATGGGCTTTCAGGTGCTGCAGCCTGGAGAGGGACACCCACAATGGGCTTGGTGTGTCGGGGTCACAATGCCCACATTATGGCGGCCACTCCGGTGGGGCCAGGCTGGTGAGCCTGGGAGATCAAAGACCTGGGAACCGAGTCCCCAACAAAGGGCCAGAGGACCGCCTCACCCAGGCTTTCTTCTCTGTGGAGGTTTGAAAAGAGCTGCCATTTCTGGCTCCTGTGCAGGGGGTTGAATGCCAGCGCTCAGCGGGGTGCCTGGTGAGCCAGGAAAGGGATAAAGGGGGCCCCACCCCCCACACCGTGTGAAAGTCAGGAGGAGGCCTGGGGGTAGGTGCCAGCCGAGGGGGCAGGACCCAGTCCCTCCCCTATTCAAAGGGCACCACCACGAGGGAGGGACCAGTTTTTAGGCCCCAGGGGGTACCCCCAGTTTAATCAGTCCTTCCTTAATGGGAGATTTCCTTCCAAGAGTGGCAGGGCCTGGCCTTCCGTGGTGGCGGTGTGAAGAGTGGGGAGAAAGCAAGCACCAACAGTGCGGGGAGCTGTGTGTCAGTCCTAGGCCTGGCGCTCTGTTTTAAGGCCTCCCAATGGGGCCCAGCAGGGGCTGACCCCGCTGGGGATGCAGCTGACACACTTGTCTAGGAGTTGGCTCTGGAGTCTGGGGGAGCTTAGCAAGGAAACGCTGTCTGCCCAGGGAACTCCACACCGCCCAGCGGCCCCTGTGGTCTCAGCTCGGCCCACACCCAGTCTTGGGAACCAAAACATTCCTCACAGAAAGCAGAAGGAAGAGCTGTAGGCCTCTCTGGTGAGTCATCAAAGGGAAGGCAGGGAACAGCAGTAAGGAGAGAGGTGGGGCCAGCCGCAGAAGGGGCCTTGGAAACTCCAAGGGCTGGGCTTCAGCTGTGTGGCCTGGAGTTAGTTACTTAACCTCTCTGAGCTCCAGAGGGCTGAATACAGAGGAGGAAGAAGCTGCCCTGGCTTCAGGCAGAGCTGCTACATGCCGTATCATGGCCCCAGCTAGAAGTGCCCTGTACCCTGTAGAACCGTTCCAGGTGAGGCGTTGCGCACGCTTCCCCCTCCCTCCCTGGGACCCCAAACTACATCCTGGCTCTTTCCTTGCTGACACTTCCTGATTATTTGTCAGTGTCCCCTTTAGACTGGGAGCACATTGAGGGCAGGGAGCCTGTGGTTCCCGTTGTAACCCACGCGCTAGGATAGACCTCTGAGGGAGTGAATGAGTGACAGTCTGGGTCCCGACTGTCAGTCACTCTCACAGGAGCGGGTCCATCTGAAATGACTCCTCTGCGTGACTTCTCCTCTGAATCCCCAGAGTGCTCTTGTCGGTTCCTCTGCCCTGACATGTGCTATGTCGACCTGTTTTAACGGTTGTTGGTGTATGGGCCTCCCATCTGCCCCGAGCAGGGTCTCTGCTGGCAGCCCTGGGCTCGAGCCATGGTTTCATCACTAACTGTTGGCTGTAAAGTTACTTAGCATCTCAAGTTCAGGTTCCTTTTCTACAAAATGGTCTGAAGGAGATCATGTTGGTGAAGCACCACCTTTTTTGATACGGTACCTAGCACATAGTACATGCTCAGTTAGCGATTGCTCCTAAGTCCCCTCCCCACGCATGCACGCACGCACGCACTGGGTTCCAGCCCCTGTGGCAGGCCCCATATCAGATTTACATTTCTCTTTCTCTCAGCAGTGAGCACAGCGTTTTTGTTGAAGGAGGGGGCAGGCATCATGGGGACCCACTCCTCCAGATTGCCCACCTTCACTCTGGCCCCAGCTCTCAGCAGCAGCCCAGCTGACCTCTCTTGTCAGTTTGCTGCCTGTTGAACCCTCCAAGGACTTGGGATGTGAGAGAGGTAGAAGACGTCCAGGCACCCATCTGAGACAAGTTTTCTGGCTCATCCTACTGGGTTGGGGCCCATGGAAAGCACCACATGAATTCCCCTTTCCTCCAGAGACGCCGCATGTGTCTGCCACGAACCTCTATCCCCCATGCCCTCAACTTACTCTGTCTTTTGTTCTAGCGCTTTCCTCTTCCTGGACCCGCACGGGGGAAATGCTCAATGAACAGCCTAGCCTCATCTCCTGCCAGGCTGGTTATAGAGTTCGGGCCACAACATGGGTTTTGTAATCACCATTCTTAAGTGCTTGCTTTTAACAGCAGTGGGACAGTAATGAATTGTTTTCCAAGGCATTTTAAAGGATGGTTCTTTAATGGGGTCTCTGCTTCTTTGAACTCTTGCGGTGCTCCTCTTTTATAGTTATTGATTTCTGTGATCATAAAAGTAATACATGGTTATTGTAAAAATGTGAGCACATTATAGGAATGTGTGGCCTGGAGGGTACGAGCATCCATGCTTCACAGGAAACCTCTGCCACCGTCCGGCATAGATTCTTCTGACTTGGTAGCTTCCTTGGCGTTTTTGTCTCCTATTTATTCTTCCTCATTGATGAGGAGTTTCTGACCCCCCCCCCACACACACACACACACACTATTTCCTCCTCAATTACAGCCTTTGCTGGTTTTTCTCTTGCAGCTAGACGCCACTCCCGGGTCCGGCCCAAGGTCACTCTCCTGAACTATGCCTCCCCGATGACCGCCGTCAGCCGACCGGTGAATGAGATGGCCCTGGCCCCTCTGACGGAGCAAGAGGGGGAGGCCTACCTGGAGAAGTGTGGCAGCGTCCGGCGGCACACGGTGGCCAATGCTCACTCGGACATCCAGCTGCTGGCCATGGCCACCATGATGCACTCAGGCTTAGGCGAGGAGCCTGGCGGTGAGGACAAGTGCCTGCTGCTGCCGCCCAGCTTCTCCCCACCCCACCGGCAGTGCTCCAGTGAGCCCAGCATCACCGACAGCCCTGACGAGCTGGAGGAGGTGGCCGGGGCCAGCCAGGAAGACACAGAGCTGAACTGTGCTTCCCTCAGCTGAACGCCCACCCCCCGGACTCCCTAGCTCCTGCCTAGCGACCAGGAGGAGCACGGCTCCGTCCTGTGGATCACCAGGGGGCTCTTCCTTTGGGCAATACTGCGTATGCCTTTTCAGGTACAGGCCTAGTCTGAGTGCCCTAGGGGAAATCCCTGTTGTAAACCTCTCCATTTTCGTGACTGTGACCACCTCTTCGCATCCACACAGACCCAGTGGCCTAATGTTCATTTTCTGACTTCCAGCCTTGCCTGCCTGACTCGGATCCACATCTCTGGGCTTTTCCCGCTCAGATATTGGACTGTCCGATGCTGCCAGCCGTATATCCCAGTGCCCTCATCATTGCTGTCTAGCAAGTTGTTGCCTGAGCCACACACAAAGCCAGCGTGGATGTGCTGGCTTTCGGGACTCCCCTTTAGGTCTGGTGATGCAGAGGCTTGTGGGTGAAGATACCTCGCCTCCCCCAGTGTGTGTGGAGTGGAAGCAGACTGCAGCCCCTACCGACCAGGACTCTGGGCAGATGCCTGCCTTATTTTAGTTTCAGAATTACTGGGACAGCGTTGCCCTATTAGTGGGTGAGGGTCCATCCTCATCTATATGCAGATGCTCCCTGCTGCCTTTGGCTTTTGGCCCAAAGGTCCCAAGGATGGAGAAACCCCATCTTTGATTAAGCCTCAGCATTTCCCCCTCAGGGGTCCTCCCAAACTCGAGGGACTAACCGCCCCAGTGGAGTAGCTTTCATCCCGCTCTCATTTCAGAAACTGGCCTTTGTCCTGTGGTGGGTCGAGTGGCTGGCTGAAACCCAACCAACTAGTCTAGTTCCTGGATTTGACTTGAATTTTTTTAATGTGCATCATTTCAAAAAAAAAAAAAGTCTGCAAATATTTGCACGTCGGATCTTGCACTGCTCCTTTTCTGATGGTTGTATCTTCATACTAAGAAAATAAGCGAACCCTCCGGGAAAGGAGACAAGCAGTGGTTCAGGGTGAAAGTGATGGCGGTGGGCAGAGCTCATAGGCTACAATGCCCTGGAAACAGCAGGAGTGGAGTCCACGATGGCCGGCGTTTGTGAGTGTTGTGGCTCATAGCAGACGCTGCATTGAGGGAGGCAGCTGCAGCTTGCCTCGCCAGCAGAGGGTTGTAGCAAATGGAAGGTCTCAGTGCTTCCCAGTGTGGGGGTGGGGGCGGGGAGATAGGGGCAGGACTTTCCAGAGAGATGTTCATCCCGTGATTAAAGAAGTACCCAGAAGTGCCTGGAATTGCTAACACGGGAGGTCTCAGAATGCTGTTGGGGCAGCAGGCTTTAGTGCTGTGCTGTCTCCTGAATGCTGCTAGCCCCAGGTCTGGCTTTGCATCCACCTTGGGCCCCTGGTCTTCTCTTTGGCCCCAGTCATAACAGCTCCAGAAAAAAGAGAAGGCACCCTGGACTCTTCTGGCCCTTTCTAGGTATCCCGTTAGTCTTTGGAAACTCCGCTTATGAAATCTCAAGAGACTTGAGTCTGCTTAGCGTCCATTGTGGCAGGAGGTGGCTGGGGGAAGATGAAGACAGTTTAAACTGCCAGCAGGGGATGAGACCTTCTAAGGTCCTCTAAGCCTTGACAGCATTTCCCTTCTGGGAGAAGAAATAGGACAAAAGTCGTGTTTTTGATGCACTGTAATTTGGAAATTGTGTTTAACAAGTTGTTTCATGTTCCTCCTTCTAAGGGAGTGATGGATGTCTGAAGGAGATCTGAGAATTTCAAACAAAAAAATAATCTTGGTGTATGTCTTGGATCAAGTCCACCAATTGACTAGCATGCATTAGCAAATGGAATAACATGATGGTTTATGTGATTGATGGCTTCTGTCCCATAGTACACTTAGCCCTTGGGACTCGTATTTATTGATCCAGGCAAAGTAATTAATCATGCTTGGGTTTTCTTTTTTAGTTTACAACATTAACAATACATATATTTTCCAGTGCCTCGTCCACATACTAAATACCCCCGGTGAGGAGAGCCGTCATCAGTTACACATGTGAGCTCTTAGGTTGAGAATGGGGGTGTCCTGACCCATGAACTTCATTTGCTGGTGACTGTTAGCTAGTTTACAACGTCCCCTTTGATACACACACCTGATATTTGTACAGTAAATATTTCAGACTGTACAGATAGACATGTTGTTGATGTTGATGGGTATTTTCACCAACCAGAACCCTATTGCAAGAGTGATAGCTGTTGTGTTCTTAACCACGGTTTCTCCCCTTGATGAGATGAAGGTTCATTTTCGTTATTTAAGCTAGGATCTTTCTGTGGCTGAGGTTTCAATGACAGGAAGCGATCACGTTAAACTCTGAGTGAGCTCACAAACCAAAACCTTTCATGTTGTCTGTTTCCAAAACGGATTCAATAAACATCGTTTTGTACACATTGCCTAGCCTGTTCCCATGCCTTGATTGAATTTGCAGGTGCTGCAGTCCATTAAACCTGTGCACGGCCCGCCCTCACACTCCACTCCCTGTGCCTGCTTTCCCTGCCTTCATGTGCCCTTTTCCTGTCGCCTCCCCTCCAGGGTTAGGCAGCAGCCTTACCTCAGCCAGTCTCCCTTGGGTTTTGTTTGCCATCCTTGTCTGGATTGACAGGTCATTTCCTGGAGAAACCGCCTGTCTGCAGAGCTTGAAAAACACTGTACAAAGTCTGAGAAGGAAAGGCCTTTTCTAAAACTAGCTTGGTCTCTTCCCGGAGCGTTTGAGCTGGAGGGAACACTTACCATATTTATCCATGGACTGTCTCTCATATATTGCCCTCCGATTCCATTGGGCAGAAAGAATTTATAATAGTTTACTCTTGGCATCAGTTTTCCTAGGAGAGCTGGAGCAGCGTCAGCCTGAGACCTCTGAAGGCATGATAAGAGCATTTAAAGAGGTGTGACCTGAACTGATTGAAGATTCTGGAGGATGTTAAGGCGAGTGTGGACATCTTTGTTGAGTCTTCAGAGACTAACTATGGAAAAGAGCCTCTGAGCATTCCACCTCGGTAGATTTCATGTCATTGGTGTGCCACCATATTCATTCATCCATCCACTCACCTACCCATCACATATTTGTGGAGCTGCCACTGTGTACAGGCACTTTTCTTGGCTGGGGATACAACGAAGGACAGATAACCTGCTCACTTGGAACTTACAGTCTAAAGGAAGGAGGCTGGCAATGAAGTCGACACAGGCATGTCAACTAATGAACAACAGTGGATGAAATAAAATGGCAAGATTCAGTGACTAGAAGGTGATTAGAGGGCAACCCTAGGTAAGGTGGTTAGAGAAGGTATAACATTGACTTGAGCTGAGAAACTGAGTGGTAAGGAGCCAGCCTTATAATCTGCTTTCATTTTCTATCACTGCCATAACAAATTGCCACAAATTAGTAGCTTAAAACAACACATTTATTATCTCACAGTGCTGTAGGCTGGAAGTCTGACATGGGTCTCAGTGGGCTAAGAACACGGTGTTGGCAGGACGGTGTTCTTTCCTGAAGGCTTTCCAGGGACAATGCACTTCCTTGCCTTTGTCAGCTTCTAGAGGCCGCCATGTTCCTTCGCTTCTGGCCCTCTTCCTCTATCTTCAGAGCCAGCAATCTTGCATCACATCACATCAACCTATATTCTGCCTCCGCCTTCCACTTTGAAGGATCCTTGTGATTTCATCGGGTCCACCCAGATAATCCAGGATAATCTTCATCGCAAGATTTCTGTGGGCACTGCCACCGCAGCGCCCTCTGCTTTACGTCTTTCTCAGTAGGAGAAGGGCCAGCCACATGCTGCGCTGGGGACCCCAGGAAGATGAGACTGCATCGGTGGGTGTGTGCTAGTCTCATTGTCCAGGGCAGACTGGCTGGCCCGGCCCAGAGGTCTGGAGCCTGAGCTACCCTCCACCATGGCCCAGACTCATGTGGTGACTACGATTCTGGAGTCCGTTGCTCAAATCTTTCTCTTATTTCCCATCTCATATGCCTGTCAGGCTCTCATCACCCCATGTCTGGACGTCTACAACCTGATACCTCCTGAATTTGTCTGCAGATGCCGCCTCTCCCTACGGATGTACCAGCTGATTTTTCTAAAATGCAATTCCTGCTTAAAACTTCTCCCTGTCTTCCAATAAAATTCACACACCTGAAGTTGACCTCAAGATCCTTCCCAAGCTGACCCCACCTGCCTTTCCAGCCTCTTTCACTGTCCTCTGACTGTTCACTGTCCCGGGAAGCTGCCTTCTACCTCCACACCCTCCCTCCCCACTCCTGCTGCTCACTCGGCCTTCTCCCAGTAGAAGGAGCCCCTTCCGCCTCTACACATTCGCAGGTGCTGTCCCAGGAAGGCAGGGCTGTGGAAGATTTCTGTTGGCATGCCTGAGGCCTAGCGATACAGAGACAGTTTGCAGGGATGTGCACTGAACAAATGAACGGGACGGTGATAATTCTGATCTCCACTCCTTCCCTCTCAGCTATTTACAGAAAGGACCTTCACCCCCTTTCATTTCTCCTTAGGCAGGGACCCTCCCCATGCTGCTTTCCAAGTATATTCCAACTAAGGCTAGGTGGCCAGGTGCTCTTTCCTGTGAACACAGGTGGGGGCTGGGTCTGAGCCCTTCCTGTAGTCCCTCCCCTTCCTGTGAAAGCCAGTGGCTGCCATGTCCCTGCAGAAAGCCAACCCAGTCCACAGGGCCACTGCTTGGCTTCTGAGTCTGCTGCCTGTTTCTGGGTCTGTGCCCTTCCTGTCTTGCTGAGAAATTCCTTTGGGGCCTGGAACATGTGTCTGAGGGAGAGCGAGAGAGCCCCTGTTGTTTGTACAGGGCCATCTCTCTGAAGAAACTCTCTAGCCAAGAAGTAAGAGGCAGTGTTTCAGGCCAGTGTGCTCAGGCAAGAGCCTCCTTGTCCTGACCGTCCCTTCCCTCAGGATCCAGCACAGGGAGATTCAAATTGTGCTGCTCAGACATGCCAAACACTATGGGATGATCCTCACAACAGCCCTGTAAGGCAGGTATCACCCCCGTTCTGCAGATGGGGAAGCTGAGGCTTGGGTTCTTTAAGTGATGAGCTGGGACTCCACCCCAGGTTCTTTCACCCCAAGTCCTGTGGTCATCCCTCTGTTCCATGAGGTATCCTGGCTTGATTAGAAATAAGGAAGCAACACAGATAAGCCCCTTGTCCTCACAATGTCCTCAACCTGCTGGGAGGTGAGATGGTTTCAGGGTTTCCAGAAAAGCAGAGGAACAAAACTGCCTCTCTTGCTTTTCTCCAGCTACTTCTAGAAAAACCTCACGAAGGAGAGCGTGCACATCAGGGGGACTCTGGTGTCCTAGGGAGCAGATTTCTTATGTAGAAAAGATTTCAGTGGGTTTATTTCCTTTAGAAATTAATAAGTTAACATCTGGCTTTAAAAAGTAATATTTTAATAAATAATTATTTAACAAATAATCTTGTCTTTAGAATCAATATTCAATTTAAGATAAAAATTGAAAAACCTTTTTTAGGCCTTTAAGGTCAGCTTAAAAATTATATTCTATTTACAAGTCTAGCTGATTTTAGCAATAACTTTGGAGGAGGCTTTGAATAATGTCTGGTCCTATTTACAAGCTTAGCTCAGGACTTCAAACACTTTTAAATGCATTTATAAATTTAATATACTTATTTCGTTTTTAAGTACTTCAGTTTTTTTGACAGCATGCAAAATCCTCCCAAATCCTAAATGCTTATAAAGACTAATAAATTAAACTTATAAATAAGGGAAACTTTTAAATGTTCTTATACTCTACTAAACTTAGATGTCACCATAAAAAAATCACAAGTCTGAATTAATTACTCAACTATATCTTTTAAAGTGGAGCTATAAAACTGTCACTGTAAGAGGCCTTATTATCTTAAGTATTACGTGTCTAAAACACCAGATAAGCACAGATTTCTTTCTAACACAAACATATCAGTGCTGTAGTTTTGTTTCTTTTAAATCTTCCTACACTGAAGCCTAATCTTCCCGGTGTGTGTGTTTGTTAAGCTATATTGTCTCTCAGCTCCAAACATTTCCTGTATTTTGGGGTGCTGGGGCTGGGATTCAGCTCACGTTTACGCTTTGTTAGCTCTGCCAGTTGGGGGCGCTAGAGGGAGCCTGGGAGTCCGGTACAGTGAGAAGAGATCCTGTCTTTGTCAACATCGCCGCAGGGACGTTTGGGTCCAGCAGCAGCAGCAGCAGCTAGCTCCTGTTTGCAGTTTTCCACGGCCCCATGACCAGTCTCAACATCTCCCCTCAGAGTGAGATAGGAGCACCCGGGCCCCTCCTCCAACCCTTTAAATTTCAATCACCCCCAACTCTTTCTGTTTCCCCATTTCCAAGGGTGGCAGCTACTCCCTGTAGTTACCACTTCCGTGATTCCCGTGTCCCGTTTGCCATTTTATTTGTCCAATACCTGATTAGTAATTGTTGATATTAAATTCGCTGTTAAAATGATGGATGTGGCTTTTGTGCCCTGACTAGACCCTGACTGATGAACCAGGGTTGAAACTCCCCACCCACTAAAGAAGACAATAACCGTCTCAGTTAACCAAGGTTACTCATTACCAGAAATTTCCTTTGGAAGTGAGATGCAGAGCTGCAGACATTCACAGTGATTTTTCTCACCCCCACCCACCTGAGGAAACCATAGTATTTCAAGTAATTTTGTTGATTGCTCTTCAACATGCGGGAGATGACTGGTGAAGCAAACTCGATTCTTGTCAGTGTCCCCAAGAGACACTGGATGCTGTTTATGATTGCTTCGTCAATGACGTCATAACCTAAAAGAAGTGATCTTATAGGCAGTTGTCTTACATAATTGCCTAGTTTTTCAATCTGCCTTCAAAAGTATGCCTTTCTCACCAAGTCACTCATTAAATGGGTTCTTAAATTCGTTTGGCCTACATTTTAATGACCTTTGAGAAGAATCCCAAGCAATGTAAAGATCTTGAACCTAATAGGCTCCTGAATTCTTTCATATTCTCAGGACCACGTAAGCTTGAACAAATACCTAAACTTCAGTCTGATATCAGTTAAATATCATACCTTTGTCTGGGGTCCAACTTATGAGGTCATTCCGTTCTCTGTAGGCTGAACAAGGATCTAGTCAATTGCCTGTCAACAGAAACTTCTGCTTCCCACTCTACGGCAGTTTTAAAAGGGCTCAATAAATGGAAATAGCATAAGGCTTCTGGTTCTGGCCATAGGGGAATGGCTTGTCTCAGATTAATCTTCCTGCCGAAATAATTATAAAAGCTGGAGAAAATAATATAAAGCAACTGTTTGAAAGAACTGGAGAGCACGCAGTGCAGGCAGGAACTGAGAGGCTATGATACCTAAGAGAACGGAAATGTATTAGGCAAACTTCACATTCATCCTGGTTTTTCCTGAGG